CAGGAATGTAGGGGTCATTTAGCTACAGGGCTGGTCAGCCCCTCCTTGGCCAGCCCCCAGGGATCTGCTGACCACCCTTAGGTTCTTTTGGAAAGGAATTCAAAAGTGAAGCCTGCTATTTGCAGTGTAAATCCAGGGAGCCTCAATTCCACTGGAAGAGGTGTCAAGCTCTATGTATCCTTGAAATGCTCTGGTTTAACATCTGTAAAGAAGCATGATGCCAGGGTTGCAGAGGGCAGACTGAACTGGTGAGCTCTGGAAGCAGAAGGAACACCAGCAGACCTGCTGCAGTCTGAGTTTGTGGGGCAGAGGAGAAAGCCTGCTTGCTCCTCTCTCCAGTGCTGGCAGGAGAGAAGCTGTGCAGTGGGAAGGAGCTGGCCAGTTCATTCATCCTCCCTGGCTCCCACAGAGGTGGGACTGGGGGTCAGCGGGCTGTGGGGAACCTGCAGCACACAGAGTGCTCCACACACTCCCCTTGCTCCTTTTTTTTTTTGTGCCAGAAGCCAAACTACCCAGGTTCAGGCAGGTATAACTCTCCTCTCATAGTAGCCCAACACCCTTTATATTTTTGTACCACGAGGTGTCAGTGTGTAGGCCTAGCATAAGAACAAGAAGGGGGTTGTTTGTTAGTTTGGGTGTTGTTGTTTTTTTCACAGGGTGTTTCTGCTATCTGCCAGCCCCATGTGAAACCTCCCACACTGCCCCCAGAGCAACTAACCTCTCCTGCTTTTCTGCACTACCTCCCCTTCTCCTGTCCATTGGAGATAGGCAGGCCTGAGCCTGGTAAACAGTTAATGCTGTTTCTCTAAATCATAGCCTTCAAAAACTTCACAGCTTAAAAACTAAAAGAAATTGTTTCTCTAAGAAGGGCACACACCTCTGAGACTTGAGGAGAGAGGAGGAGGAGTCCAGGAAATAGAAGGGGCCAACTGGATTCCATTGAGTAGAGTGTAACCTTTGTGTTTTGGCTGCCTGCCTCTTGCTCTGGGCATTGATTTGAAAAAATGCCTGGGTATCTTTGCACAAATAAGGGAATTCAGTATAAGAGTATAATTTAATCCAGTGGCTGTGTCAGAGTGGCCAGTTCTACCTGCAGGATATTCTTCTGGATATTCTGTGCCCACTTGACTTACTGGTGATTATAAAAACCTAAAGGAAGGTGAAACAAGAATCTCCCCTGCAAATTCTTATTTCTACTAAAGGATCCAGAAACCAGGAAGATCCAGATCCAATAGCATTATGGCCTAAGCAATGCAAGAGCCATGTGCCTTTCCTATGATCTCTATATTTGTCCTCAGTTCCCACTGATTTCTGGACCTTTCTTGCCAGAAATGACCAGCAAACATCATGAAGTGTGTGTAGCTTCTGCTCACAGATATATTTTGCTCTTATGTTTTGGAAGTGTCTTGACTGAATTGTTAAGAGCAAACACAGCATTTGAAAGGAGCAAGGTCAGCTCTGAGTCAGTTCTTTGTAGATATCTCCAAACACTAGATATTTTCCTTTGGTTTTTAGGGAAGAGTGGATTTTGTTTGTAGTGCACAGCTTGCTGTGCCTGAAATGTGTAATTTCCTTACTGGATGGTTGAGGGAGCTGTAAAGAGGTTGTAAATACTGTCCCCTGGAAATGCTGGAAACGGAAGAACATCTCTTAATTTCTTTATATATGAACTGCTTAAGAATCTGTTTTCTCCCTGCTGTTTTCCCAGGTCCATAGGCCATGTTGTTAGCAGAGAAACAGAGAACTTGCAGGTGCCTTATTATGTGGATAAAAACTTTGAAAAGAATTATCAAGGAGCAGAACTTCAAGAACTAGAGAAAACTGTTGAAAAAGATTACATAGACTATATTCAGACCAGCTGCTGGAAGGAGAAACAGCAAAGTAAGTTATTTTTGTCACCAGTGTGTGCCTTCAACCCAGCGGCAGTTGTACAATGGTTATGCTTCACAAAGCACTGCCATTTTTAGCCTCATTTTCCAATGCTTACATCTCAAACCTTGCACTGTTGGGTTTTTTTCTCACATCTGCTCCTAACACTGAATTTGTGGTTCTTGAGGGTCTGTCAAAATTCATTGCAGGTGATTCTGAGAGACAAGTGGAAAGTAGATTTCACCATTTGAGACATTTTTTCCACTCCATTTTTATGCTTGAAGAACTCTTAGTCATGATGTTTTAAACGAGTAATCCACCACATTTATCTAGCTCTTGACAGGTTGTAAGAGCTGGAAAAGATCTTGAGACATCACCTAGTCCACATTTCCTTTGCTGGAGCAGAATCATTTTTGCTTTGACTGGCTCTGTGAGAATATTATTTAACTTTTTTTTCACAACTTCATCAGAAAGAGAGCCCATAACCTATTGGGTGCCTGTGGTAACCTTGCAGCAGACTGTTGCTGGTATCAGTTTTCAAAGAGTGTGCTTCTGTACTTGCTTTGTGCACTTATTTGCATTTTCTATCTTTAGATGAGTTTGAAATCATGTTCTTCACCATAGGTCCAGATTTTCTTTTAAAAACAAGAACTGAATGCAGAAAGGGAGTCCAACACACAAGTGTGAGCATTCAGAGTCACCATTCTCACCTCAGTCCTAAGTTGTTCAGCAGTATTTTAACCCCTTACTGTATTATTTGTTAATGACTACTCTTGTAGTTCATTTGAAATGGAGCAATTCCCTGCTTCTTTTGTAACTGCACAAAAGAACAGAAATCAAATTACAAGGACTCGCTGGAGTTGAGATGATCTGACTGCTTTCTGTCTAACTGAAAACTCATCATGTTAAAATGAGTCAACACAAACTACTGCTGCCCAGAAAGGAAACTGAAGTTCTTTCTGTGTGAATGTTTCACAGTAGTAGACAAGCTACTTTTACACACCCTGGCAGGGCTTTCTGTGCCCCATGTAAAACAGCCCTCAGCACACCACTAAAAACTGACACTGCCCTTGTTTACAGTTTCTTTACCAATTGCATCATTATGGAAGGACACACTTGGTCTAGAGCAGACTTGTTTGATCCTGTGCTAGAGTTAATAATAGTGCTGCTGACTCCAAGCTATTTACAGGTTTTTAATGGGAAGGCTTGTTTTGTTTTCATCCAGAGACTGTTTTGGTTTATTTTAAATAAAAAGTTACCCATCTTGCTTTTAAAGAGAAATATACAGATGTAGGCTCTGAAGGTAGAAAATAAAAGAGCCCATAAGACCATCAAAATCATAGAATGGTTAAGGCTGGAAGGAACCTTGAAGATCATCAGGTAAATCCCTAGTTTTTCGGTTTGCTTGTGATTACTGAGCATCTCTGACTGGCACTAGCAGCCTCTAGGTATAATGTGGCTGCTAATAACCATCAGTGTAGGCTTTATGTGTAGGCTTGCTACAGGGAAAGGTTTTATTTCTTATGGAAAAATCCTTCTAATTGACCTTGTGCAACTGAGAGTTGTCATCTTGTCTCATTCATGTAGATCTGGAGCTAAGGAGTGAGGGCCCTGCCCCAAAACAGGCACCAGAGTTTGCAAGTCTGAGAGAGACTGGTGGTCAGAGAGGGGGAGATGATCCATCACTGCCTGCCAAGTAATTCCTGCAGAACAGTTTCCCTGGTGACTTTATTAGACACACATCTGCAGATATATTCACAAGGTCCACAGTAGGCTGAGGAGACCACTGTAATTAAGAAAAAACATTTTCAGAATTATTACTGTCTAGCAGGTAATGAGCACAGCAGAGACAGTTCTAACTTTAGTACAGCCAGGTTTGTAAAAATAAACTGAGCAGAAGATGGAGTGCTGGGGAAAAGTTCTCTGGAGATGCTGAGACAGTTCATAGCTGGCTGGTCTATCATCACTTTGGGCCATTACTCTTGTTATGTGGCCAACTTTTATTTTTGTCAGTTGAATGCCCAGGAACAGCAGGTTTGTTTTGTTTGCTGAGGGTGCATTCCTCTTGAACAGAGATTAGTTATACAGGAACAGATTGATGTTTAAAGTCCTTGATTTTCTGACCTGAGAAGTGGTACCTGGTGTCCAGCTACCTTAATGAAACCTTCAAAGGTAACTGATGTCTTGGCTTCTTGTTCAGCCTGTCACACTGATACGAGTCCCTCCCTTCACAGCAGGAGAGTGAGTAAGAGTTGCCTAAGCTCTGTTTTACGTTCTTCTGAAATCTTTGATGCAGTTAAGTACAAAAAGGACATCCCAGGTCTGTTCAGGAGACTGTTCAGCCATGGTAGCACAGCTGTGACACTACAAGGAACTCACAGTTGTAGAAAATTACAAGGAGGCAACTGCAAACAAAGAGAAGAAGGATGTGAAGTCAGAACTTAAAAAATCATATAGAATGGTTTGGGTTGGAAGAGACCTCAAAGATCACCCAGTTCCAACCCCCAGCATGGGCAGGGACACCTCCCACCAGCCCAGGCTGCTCCAAGCCCCATCCAACCTGCCCTTCAACACTGCCAGGGATGGGGCAGCCACAGGCTCTCACCACCCTCATAGCAGAGACTTTCCTCTTAATGTCTAATCTAAACCTTCCCTCTTCAAGGAAACAACTTTATATAAATGAAAAGATAAAAGAACATAAGCATCCAGCATGGCACAACAAATGCTGGTTTTGACAAGCATTTGCAGTGAATATTTTTGCTTAGTTGGATGAATGTGAACCAAGGTTCTTCACTGCAGAACTCCAGGGACTCTAGACTCAGACACAATTACCCAGTCCAGTTTTGCTGCAGGTTTGTCAAGGCCATGTGCCCAGCACCACCTGAGAGGCTGTTTGAAAAGCTGAAAATTGGTTTCTGATCTACAAGAAAATTTATATACCCTTCAGTTTGTAAAGCTTTTCAATAAACAGGTAGAAGGTTAAATGGCTTTAAATTCCAGTGGGACAGGGACAGAGGATGTGAGGTATCAAAGGACCTATTGAAGTTCTTTCCACTCTGAATGATTTTGTAAAATGAGGTACTTGTAAGATATATAAAAGCTCTGTGAAAAATGGAGTGTCATCAGGTACCCTGTGCTTAGGGAAATTCTGACCTCTTCAGAAACAAATTACTGCTGTTCTCTTAGGTGCATCTAATCCTGGATCGAAATTACTCCTCAGGGAGAAAGCTGCATTAAGGCTTCCTTAGCTAATCAGCAAAAGAAGCTTCTCTGAATGACTGGATGGAAGTAATTTTTAAAAATGGGATTGTTTCACTTTTGAGAAGAAGGGTGAAAATCCACAAAGTACATTTGAGATTGTCTTGTTAATGAAAGGGCACAGAGGCCTTTCACACAAGTCCCTCAGCTAGCTGCTCACCTTCCTGTAATCAATTAAAAAAAAATTGAAAATAATTTATAGTGCCTTCTGGGCAAAGTTCTTGCCAGGCAGAGTTGGGATCCTGAGAAGTGCAACATCAGACAAAGCAATTATCTGTATCTGCAGGTGTGTGTTTGGATGGGCTCTCTGGGCCCTTGCAGGATGGATCTGCCACAACAACTGCATTTCTCAGTGTCCTGGGCAGGGAAGGAGCTCT